TTTCCTCAGTTCATCGGAAGTTCTTCCGATATATAATAGTCTATGTGGGTGATATTTTAGCATTAATTTGCTCTCAGTTTGTGACAACTCCTTTAAATAAATTCTCCAAATATTTTGTATATACCGAAAATTGCTATAAAATCTTCCCTGGACTGTAGATTATCTAAGAGTTTTATACTTACAGGGACTTATATTCATAGAAGAGCCTCATAATTCTTCTGTCTCCATAAAATCTTCAGATTTTTTAACAATACCAGGCTCTATATATGATCTTCCGGAAAAAATCTGCTACTTCTTGAAGGGTCTTCTATACATGGAAGTTTTCTAGAAAGTATTCTCAGATCTCAGGATATATATTAAGAAATTTCTTCTCTTAATCGATAGCTCTTCAATTTCATTAAAGAACCTTCGAATGATCTTCTGTTTATAAGAAAAACCTAGAAAAGCTCTGGTTGTCCATACAATATATCCAAAAATTCTTCTCACCTAGAATGTCTTTAAAAGGACATTGATTTTGTATGCCCTGAATTATGACCCGAAAGTCTTCTCCTTTTGGAAGATCTATTCAAATATGAAATACAATTATTATTAGGTCTCTTTAAGGGGTCTTGCAAGGATTCTGAGGATTTAAGTCTTAATCTCACTTTGATGGACTTTGATAGAGTCAATAAAAGTTCTACTTAGATGGAGAATTTTTTCCCCTTAATATCGTTGTCGGTCAATATTTTTCATATTCGGGTTTTCTATATATTGGATACCTGACACATTTTTTCTAAGGTCCTTTAAAAGGCCCTTTCTCTATTGAACGTTTTTCTTGTCCACCACCCCACTTGTTAAAATTCCCATTCTAAAACAAAATAATCTTCTTCTTTTCTATTGTCAAAACTACTGTTCATTGCACCGATTATGTAGTCATATAAGCCTCAAAACAATTCCGTTGTTGTTGTTGTTGCTGTGCCTGGGTTGGCAGCTGTCCACGTCCGCTTCCATTCAAGTGAACTGTTAGCAACGCTGTTCCAAAAGTGAACATTGATTACAATTATTAGAGTTAGAGGTGTCCTAGTGTGGTGAATGGCAAACATTTTCTGTTGTTGTTGTCTTTTTATTTTCGTGGTGGTGATGGTGGTGGCCATGACCAAAACGTTCCAATCTTTCAAGAAGATGATGTTGGCTGCCAAGATGTTCACCGCGCACTACGGGAACAGAGCAACACTAACAACAACATGTTTTGCATTGCTAACCTGGCATCTAAATATTCTATTCTTTTTAAGAGTTTTCTTCTTCTTCAGCATCATTCGCATCCACAACGGTCGTTGTGTGGCCTTTTTGATGGTTACAGTCTTTTGTTATAGTGTCGTTGTTGTTCTTGTTGTTGCTGTGTTTTGGTACACCATCAAATATTAATATTAGGAGGCATATGCATGCATGCCATTCATGGCAGCTCAATATTCGTATCCAGCCATGTGAATAGCCTTCCTGCTAGCCAAACAGTCAGCCATCGTGCCGGCCTGCCTGCCTAGCTGTCCGCTGCCGTATGCATTTGTGTATGAAATGCAATTTACTTTGGTGCTATGCTGTGCTGAGGCAGGCTACAGCATAAATCTGCGTACCAACAAACAAAAAAGTGCCATGTGAGAGAGTGTGTGGCGTGGTGGAGCGCTATGCTGTGTTGTAGTGTTAAACCCCAATACCCCATTTGTGATGCATGTAATGGTAATGCCTGTCGCTGCCTCTTGGCTAGAAAACAATATGGAAAACACAACGGACTGCACAGTAAAGTAAAAAAAAAAACTGAACTGAGCTGAGCAATTTTCCATTCATCTCAGTTGTCAAATAAACGGAATTTGTGAGTTTTGCGTTGGCTGCCATGCCATGGCTGTTAGTAGTTAAACTTAGCCTTAACAACAACGGCAACAACAATTCCCCCTCAAACACCACCAAAACGACCAACCAGCCAGTCAGTCATTCATCCCAGCAAATTTTGTATGTAATAGAAAAAAATACAGCGGCCCAACATTATTCCATTAAAGCAGTACTACTACACACACAACCCCACGACCATGCCTCCTTCGTCCGCCTAATGCTTGCAAACTTTGGACCCCGCCATACCAACCACCACATCTCCATCTCCAGCTGTGTTGGGAAATTGCCCACTCAAAACTTTGTTGCAATCTCTAAGTCTAAGGTCGTTGTTCCAAAATGTCTGGCCAGTCCTAGTAGTGGGTAAGCCATGGTGTAACTCCTTGGCTATGAAGAAAACCAAAATACATTGGAAAATTTATTATTTGATATATTGACAATAGTATATATCTGCATGTATGTGTAAGGGGCGTTTTGGGGGGGGGGGGGGGGGGGGGGGGGTTCTTTGTATGGGAAGCTCATAGAAAATTTGTAAAGGGTCAAATTATTGTTGTATTGTTTGTTAATATCTGACAATAATTTTTGATCCTTTATCTGTGACCAAAGATTTATTAGCAACGTTTAATACAAAGAAAGAGGGAATATAAAAATGGTGGAAAGGGGAGAAAAAAGTTACACAGAATTGTGAAAGAGATTTCTTAACCCTTTCAGTGTAAAAAAAATTGTCGGAATAAAAATCTAAAATTTTGTATTTAAAATAATATTAAGGCATAGAGTTTAGAAAAATAGCAATTTTCACTTTAACCCTCGGAGAGTTTCATCTGTCTGACAGCAAAAACAAAAACATCAATAGTATACATAGGATTCTTTTAAATGTCGAATATATTCGACAAAAACACTGAAAGGGTTAATTTTCTGCTTCTCCTTCATGTATAGAAAACCTAGTTATCTAAAGGGTCATAATAATGCGTTTATGTACATTATACATTTGTCTGGAGATGAATTGTTGTTTATAGAAATAGCTCTATAAAATACCTACATCACTATCGATAGAAAATCTACAGAGACGACTAGATGACTTTCTATCTAATGGAGACCTACAAAACGCCCTTTACCTATATCTTTCTGTAGAAGAATTTTAGAGGATGGTCAATTAGAGTGCCTGTGGATGTTCTGAAGCCAATTGTCTGCAGAAACCCTGCCTGTGCATTTTATTCTATCTATCTATTAAAGTTTCGCAGAAGATATCTATATAAAAAGAGCTGCGGAAGATATGGTGTCTAGTGACATAATGTCTCTTATTTTAGAAGATCAGCTCTCCATAAAAAATCTGTTAAGACTTTCCATGGCTTACACTTTTAGGAAGTTCTCTATCTGTATAGAATAAGTTCCCTCATGTATAGAAAAGGTGTTCTATCTCCAGAATACTTCTATTCCCAGAAGACCTCTAGAAGGTCATCCATTCAATAGGTAGAAAAAATCGTCTTATTATAGAATGTTATTAAAGTAATATCGAATTTTTATTCCCTCCATTTTGTACCGTAAGTCTTCTACTCCAAAAGTTCTACTGTCCATAGTATACTACCAGTTCTCCTCGTTTTAGAAGACTCTCTCTAAGCCTCCCATATGGAAGTTTGTAAAAAGTCGGTCATTATAAACTTTAACAGTTTTTTTAATGTACAAGAGGTCCTTTAGAAATTCAGAAAGTATTTTATCTGTAAAAGACTTTTAGAGTGCCATCTATATAAGGCCTTTCAATTATCCTCTAGAAAACCTGAAGAAGTTATTGTAGTAGGTGTTCTATCGATTCACGACCTGTATATATATATATGACACCTACTGAAGGTTATTTGTTCATGCGTATACAGATCATATATATCATTTTTTTTCTTATTTTATAAAGCTTCCCGTCAAAGGGTCACCTTAGAGGTTCAAGAAATATGAACCGATTATTCCAAAGACACTACCTCCAACCGTTGTTTTTATTTCATGTGGTGACAGGTATGGAATACCTTTAGGTTGCTCTTAGTGCAAAAATGCGGCAATTTTCTTGTTTTAAGATAGAAATGGGCCTCTCGGCTGAAATCAATTCAACTAGACAGCTCATTTCACTGATCGGTTTATGCCCGATTTTTCTTTATATTTTAGAAAACCTACAAAGTCTCATATCTTTAGAGTACATACACCTTAAGGAAGTCATCAAAATATAACAGATTTCCCATTGATAAAATACATATTTTGGAGTATAGACCCACATCACCTGTTTGCAATCTAACTCCTAAAAATATACCTTAAAATAAGTAGTTTTTAGTCCCACTTCCTAAAAGTATACTTTAATTTAAAATCATAATTTTTTATTAATTGTATTTTCTCTTCATTTTTCATTACAGATGTTTCGAAGCAACTACTCTAACATTACAATAATACCAGCCATTATTGCCAAAATCCACAACCAACATCATCACATCCTCCATACGGACCCACAACAACATGCCACAAAAACTCTACCTATGAAAAAACGGTAGGAAAAAACGGAACAAGAAAACGCTGTTCAACGCTAAAGTGTGCCATACCATCAGCAAATTCTTAACAATTTCCGAAAGAAACAAAAAGAGAAACCAATTAAGCCCAAAAAGAAATATTGCCACTATACAAAACTAACAACGGTCACAACGAATTGTACAAGATATAACATAACCTCTTCTAGAAATCCGAGCCTTCCAAGAAATCAACTGAGATTAAAGTGCCTTTTTATATATTACGTATATATACATACACACGCCCAAAAACACAAACATACACATTATTCGTTTATAAGTTAATATTTGCATCGTATATTAAGAACTAAATTAAGTTTTAGAACACATAAGGAGCCATTAAACATACTCATTATTACATAACGACAACAACATTCCAATCAAATTTCAATACATTCCATACGGATAAGATCCTACACAATATTTCTTACCAGTATCGGAAAATATTAACTGGCAAGTGCAATTCTCCTCACATACTTCCCTAAGTAAGAACTAAGAAAAAAACAAGGAACTCAACTGTTTTACCACTCACCGCCCAACTCCTTCCAACGATTCTAAGAATCTCCAATCACATTGCTTTAAAAATAATCTCCAAAATTGTACGCTGACATAAGATGTCATCATCATCACCGGTCACAACAAGTGTCATTACCGCCAACGAACTTGCTCTAACGGCTCAAGCGAATATGCATCACCGTGCCGCTGGCCATATGCACGAAGCCCCCCTTTCGCCAGCACGTGCCAATTCAGTATCTGTGGCTGGAGCCACCGGAACCACAACGGGCAATATTGTCAGCACAACCAGTATTTCAAATTCTGGACAAACAGCCAATGGTATACCCATGATTTCACCCGAGGCCATGCATCACTCATCCCCCGATAGTCCACAACCCGAATTGGCTACCATGACCAATGTAAATGTCCTCGATTTGCACACAGACTCCTCAAAGTTATACGACAAAGATGCCGTCTTCATATATGAGAGTCCCAAAGTGGTAATGACTGGTGGTGGTGGAGGACCCCAAGATGATCATGTCATTGATGCACGAATGGTGGCCCAATTGAATCAGCAGCAGGCCGCAGTACAAACGGCCCATGAAAATCAGCCATTGGCCAAAATAGAGTTCGATGAAAATCAAATAATCCGTGTCGTGGGACCCAATGGGGAGCAGCAGCAAATCATATCTCGGGAAATCATTAATGGTGAACATCACATTTTATCCCGCAATGAAGCCGGTGAACACATTCTTACACGTATTGTCAGTGATCCCTCCAAGTTAATGCCCAATGATAATGCCGTAGCTGCTGCCATGTTTAATCAGGCACAAAAAATGGCCAATGATCATGCCGTTTATCAAACATCCCCCCTAGATGCCTCCGTGCTACAACATTACGATACCGAGGCAGTGGTCAAAACCGAAGTTGATATCTACGATGATCCGAAGAAACAACATTCGGGGCAGATAATATACACAACATCGGGACCGGATCCTGGTAATCCTAAACATTTATCACATTTACCAATGGGTGCCAAATTGGATCCAGATATGTATCCAACGGATAAACATATCGATTTAATTTACAACGATGGCAATAAGACGGTGATCTATACGACTACCGATCAGAAAGGTTTGGAAATATATTCGGGCAGTGATTTAAGTGGCCTTGTGGCTGATGGTCAAGTTGTGGTACAAAGTGGTGGTCTACAGTATGCTGGACATGGTGGTCCCGGAGGTCAACCGGTGTACATTGTGGCTGATGGTGCTCTACCGCCCGGTGTTGAAAGTCATATACAAAGGTGAGTGATAAAGAAGCAAGTTTAGTTATTAATTCTATCCTATTCAAAAGAAGAGGAACTGGCTTGAAATATATTGTTGACAGGTATGTCATTTGCAGTCTCATCTAATTTAGGAATATAACAGTCAGATAAAGTGGAAGGTGGTCCCCCTTAACTTTTTAGGACGTGTTGTGTTTTACTTAGTTTGGCACCATACTATGAACCATCCCTATTAGATATTCTATAAATTTTTTCTTACCCGTCACAGGAATTTGAAAGGTCTTTGCTAGACGACAGAAACATTTTTTTATATTTCACTCAAGAATGCGAATGAAGTCATTAAAATTCGTAAATAATTGACAATTCTAAGAAAAACTTAAGGTTTATGGTCCAATCAGCTGTTTGTTCAATCAATACCTGAAAGTATGCTACACAAATAAATCTTTAGCCTAGACATCATCCCCTATCACCTAATATGCTTTTGCATGGATGTATAAATCTTATTAGGGCGTGTTGGTGTTACTTATTTCCCGCTTTCCTATTAGAAATCCTCCAACAAATGTCCTTAACAATTTGAATTGTCATTCCCATATGTTGGAACTAATTTCACATTTTATTAGGTGAATGAGGACATCAAAAAACGACGAATAATTGTGTACTTTCTAATAAAAAATAATGTTTATGATCAAATAAGCTGTTTACTCCATCAATCCCTAAAAGTATGCTGTTTTTCAAACAAATCTTCAGCTAAGACATCATCCCATATAATCAAAAAAGTCTTTGCACGTGTGTATAAATGTTACTTGTTCCCCACCTTTCCCATTAGATGTCCTCCGACATTTTTTCCTACCCTTGACAGCAATTTCAAAGGTCATTCCCATATCTCTGAATGTTATTTTACATTTTATTAAAGAATGTTCAGAAATGGGAACGTGAATGATGTACACGTGATGTTTGGGAATGTTTTTGTTTTGTTATAGTTGATACCTACCAATGAAGAGAAAACAACAACAACAGCAAGGAGAACATCAACATGCATTGCATTTACAACTAACATCCTTTCTAAATGTAAATAAAAATAGGATTCGTTAGCAAATATGTTGTTGGAGTCGTCGGTATTGTTGTTGTTGCAGTTGGTATTGTGTCTCAAACAAATGGGACAAAAAAGAATCCAATAGATTTCATTGCTCATTTGCATCTGCCTTTGCCTCTGTCTTAGTGTATTCTACATCTCCAAATGTCAGGTAAAATGGGGAGGAACATTTTAGTCGAGGGATGTGGGGTATCCGTCAGTCGGTTGGTCGGCCGGCCGGTCGTTGTTGTTAAATGATAAATTGCATGCATAGCTGGAAGTCAATCGTATAAAATCTACGCAGCTGCGTCATGCAAACCTTTTTGTTGCAGCCAACCAAACAAACAGACGAGCAAACGGCCAGGGTCAGCCAGTTGAAGCTTAGCATATTATTGTGTACTTAGAATACGAAGGCTACCACAACAACAATAACAATAAAATTGTTGTTGTTTCCGAATCAAATGCCATGCGAATAACATTGCTCATGCAATCCATCTATTCGAGTTGGCGAAAATATACACCCCTCTCTGTGCATGGAAACATTGGCCATTGGTCCTCGTCTACGTTCGTCATCATCATCATTGAAAGAAATGGCAACAACAACAACTTCTACTACTGCATCAGCAACATCCTATACATCTCAACTAACATACATTACGGAAATGCAATTTTGTCATTATTTATGGATGTATAAATCGGCTGAGTTGCATGCCAGCCGACTCACGGGTTGGATGGCTTGCCTGTTTGCATTTTCCATAGACTTTGGTTTGGTCAAACGGTTGGCCACAATTTTTTACCCCCCGAAAGGAGGGAGGTTGTAGACATTTTTGGTGTTTCATTTGAAACACATAGTTCAGCCTAGGAGAGGTGTTGGTTGGTGCCACCACTCATGGCTGGTTACTACTGCTAACGGTTAAACTTTTTAGATTAATTTCTATTCAAATTTTTATTACCAACATAATGTGTGGCTAGGTGGCTGTCCGGCTATGGAAGGATGCCTCTGCCTTTACTACGACATAACAGTAACTTTAGAATACCAGGGAAGGTTTGCTAGCGAGTATCTTGTGTTAGGAAAATAAAATATACAGTAAAGAAAACGGATCCGGGCGCGCCTACTTAAAAATTCGTAGCACATCAAATGTTTGTTATTGTTGCAGTTTTTATTTTATTTTTTTGCGAACGAAGAAAACCGACGACATACTATAAAAATGAAGAAGAAGAAGCATACTTTGCTGTTCTCCTGGCCACATTGTGTTGCAAGCAAAACATTTCATTCAACAGCCGAGTGGAATACAACCCAACCAACTCAGTGATGATGAAGACAACTACGACCAAGATGACGATGACGACAGACAACAACAAACGGTACAAATGTCCATAGCTGCTGTCGTTGTCTCCTCGCCACAATGATGATGACGCTGGCCACAAACATTTGCCGGAGACATGTAAAAAGCTAATTAACAGCATCATGAAACTAACGAGATGTATAGCAACGACAATACCAACAACAGCAACAAATCAAATGTAGCTGACGAATGCATTTAACCGCTAAAATCTCTGACGCATAGAACAAACCGACTGGTAAACTAGACGAACAACCGACCAGCCATTCAGTCAGTTAGTCGGCCGTTCAGTCTGCCCGTCTAAACATCCAAACAGCCAATCATCATCATCGTCGTCAGGTCAATCCATGTGGGGTGCTCCCAATCAAATAGCGAAATTTATTTTTGTATCATTTTCTTTCCCTGCCGTTTCCTATATATTTCTTTGTTTGTGTATGGCGGAGATTCATAGAATTGTGAATTGTGTCTCCCCAGACAATTTCAATTCCACAATTGCAATAATTTATTACACACAAAAACAATTAAAGTAAAAGTCCAGACATTTTATGGGCTGATGATGTGGATATGAATTGTTATTTGGAGGAAAAAAGTTATTGAAAGGAAGACTTGATGTATTCGATGCGAATTAGTAACTTGCCTAAATTGAACTGTGAGTCAAGGAAATATACTAGGTTAAGAGAAATATTAGAAAACCAATAAAACAATAAATAGTTCGACTTTTTATACCCTTTTCAGTAAGGAACCAATATAAAATTCTAAATTCTGGTATACCACTTGGAATTGACAATTGGATCTTCAAAATATCTAAAAACGTTTGGACTCAAGAAAAGGGTGTAGGTATTTTCAGGCAAAAGAGTAACTTTTATGTTCAAATCAGCTGTTTACTCCATTAAACACCTAAAAATATGCTACACAATTAAAACTAAATTGTATTTAGCTAAGACATCACCCTATATCACACAAGAATCAATATTTGAATGGCTGTGTAAATTTTTTCCAATTCTTTTTTACATACCATTGTCTGCAAAAATTAATTATTTCGACTTTTTATACTCTTTTCACTGAGGAATCAACAAAAATAAATCAAAATTATAGATTACCACCCGATATTGTCTCTTTTTCTTAGAATCTTCAAAATATCTAAAATCATCGGGATCCATTAATGTATCATATGTCAAAACCTGCAATGGCATTGAAAATGTTCTGCAGAATATTTTTACTTTATTACTGAATTTTACGTTAGAATAATAGGCCAGGACCTTATTGGTAGCCACTTTGGTTTAGTCACAGAGATCAAAATTCTCAAATACTAGGCTAGAAGATTTTATTTAAGCCCAAAGCTCATTTTTAGATTTTTCTTTTATCTACTCAATCGTTAATTTACATAGATGTCATAAAAGGGTCAAAACCAATTTTTGATATTTTGAAGATTCGGCCTCATTTTATTTTTCTTCTCTTAGGACAAAACAAACTATTACAGAAAATGTTTAATTCAAATGAATGCTCCTCCCGATTTAAAGGTTTTTACGGGTGGTTTTAATTTGTTATTTCGGAATTGCAGATTATAAAATACCTCCTTTCATGCCTACAATCTTAGCAAAAAGCTTTCTTTTCCAATGATGTAGCTTTAATTTGTTATTTCGGATTTTCAGAGTATAAAAGACCACCTTTCATAACTACAATCGTAGTGAAATGCATTCTTTTCAGCGGTTTTAGGTGATAGAAAAGTCTTTCAAATGCAACCCTGTTTTCGTTATCAAAGACACAATCCTTGCGCGCAATATTGTTTTATTGATAGTGAAGTCAACGACCAAAATTTTGCATCTACAATTCAACACACATGGTTCGTGTCTACACTAAAATAATATTACAGCACCATCTGATGGTAATTATCTCAACTAATATGTAATATATATCTTTTTGAAGTAATTCCCATAAATCACCTACTGAGTGGGTTATTGTGGTGCAAAATACATGATTGAGATTTCCACAATTATCATTTCTATAGAATAGTGAGCAATCAAAGTTGTCAAAATTTATCAGGTTGTAGTCCTAACATGTACATTAAAAATAAACATATTACAACTGTCCCCAGAAGTTTATTTAAACGTTGAAAAATTATATGCATAATGTTATACATATGAATTACAGGCTTTATTATATATTTCTAGGCGCTGTCAATTTATTTTCTAAAAAGAATATTTGATTGTAATTCATGCATACACCTTATTAAAAATAATACACCTTTGTTTGCTATTAACTCACTCGAATTCATTTGAATCGAATTTGACAGCAACCGCCGTCTGTTAGTCTTTGTTATAATATTTTATTGTAAATTCTTTATTTTTTCATTTTAAAATAGGTTTTTTGTTTTCTTATTTCTCCTCGTTATCAATTTATGAAACCCAATTTTCTACGCCTAACAATTTACCACCATTCAATGTTAATGATTAAAATCTCCACAAGATAAGCTGCTCTTCGAACGACAGACCGACAACTGTCCATTGTAGTCAATTTGAAGTTGCTGTGCACTCCTTACCCACAACTGCATTCCAATAAATTTAACAGCAGCAGTCATGATATTGATTCTATTTTCTAAACTAAAA